CTTTCCCGGGCGGGGTCAATGGGGAAGGAGGCGGGGCGAGGCGGGGCGCCCCCCCCACTTCTAGGCCTGTCACCTTTCCGGGCCCGAACTACCTCGAATAGGCGCGCGGCAGCTTTCTCTGTCCCGCGTTCTTTTGTCGTATTTCCCCGAGAAAAGGAGCAGCTGCGGGGCTGAGGCGGAGTCAGCCGGGTTTACTGTCCCGCTGGGTCGGCCCGAGCCTCGTAGGGAACCTGCCATGGGTGTAATGGGGCAACCGTGTCCTGGGCTGTGTCCCACTGCACTCCCACCCTGAAGCTGCAGGGCCTGAAGGAGGCCCAGCCAACTCCGCCCCAGCCCTTGTTTCCTGACACTGAATGAGACCCACTTTCCCACAGCCATAAACAAGCTGGGCTGGGAGGGGCCTCTGGGGGTCAGCTAGGTTGGCCCGGGGCCTGAAGTGGGAGGGAGCCTCCCTCTCCAAACCATCCCATACAATTCATCATCTAACCTTTTCCTAAAGCTGCTGGTAACCCCGGTGCAACCCAATGTGAAACCCCCAACCCACCACAGGGAAAGCTGGGAACCACGGCAGCCAATGTCCTGTGTCTGCAAAAGCTTCTTAATATATGCTTGAGGTCCTGGGTAGAGGGCCACGTCCCCCATTGCAGAGGAAGGCCAAAACCCCCACAGTCCACACCAATCTGACCATAGGGTAAAATTCTTTCCTGCCCCCAAAATCAATGACGGGTCTGACCCTGAGTGGAGGGGCAAGCCCCTTCAGCCAGGACCTTTCAGCTTTGGCCCCAGCAGGAGCACTGGCATAACCCAGTCAAAGGGTGCAGGCAGAAGTGCTGCTCCCAGTTGTAACACAGAAGGATTACACCGTTAACCCGTGAGTTACACCATTACCCCGGACTGTCATATTGAATGAAATAGTTTGAATGTTTGTAAAGGTTGCCCATTAGCCAGTTTCAGGAAGAAGATAAGATTTATCTCCTTATCTAGCTCATTGTTTTTGGGACTACGTGCAAAAGGTCCTGACTTAGTTTAAAGTCTTAATTTAAATTTTATCTTTAGAAGTCTTTTACAAAGAGAGCAAATATCCTGAATTCTGAGAGATCAAACCCTAAGGCCTTTTAACAAGATTGGTAAGAAAAGGGCTACAACCTAAACCCTTGGTAAGAAAAGGGCATTTGCAGTGATATGGAAGTCTCCCCAAGAGTAATTTAAAATGCTCAACAAAGGCAAAAGAATCTGTTGAGTAAGATCCGAGCCCAAATTTGGGAGTAGTGACAGGTTGAGTAGGAGGAGCCCACTGACGGCAGCTCGCTCAATAAAAACTGTAACTTACTGTCCCAATTTGGAGGTGACTATACTTGCAGAACAACGAAGGAAGAATCGCAAGTGTAGGCTGGAACAGACTGATCACTTGAGCCACCCTGTCCGTGAACACGAATCTCTTAGTTCACGCTGAAGCCGCGGAGCACCTGAAAGGTACTGAAGGAAGGGGACTTAGTCCTATCACTGCTGAGCCCAGCTGATTGAACCGTACTGCTGAGGCCAGCCTATTGAATTGCATTGCTGAGCCCAGCTCATTGAACTGTACTGCTGAGGCCAGCCTATTGAATTGTATTGCTGAGGCGAGCCCATTGAACCGTACTACTGAGGCCAACCCATTAAATCGTACTACTGAGGAATTAAACCATATTTTGGTATTTGGCTTCTCGGAATTCTAGGATTGTAAGTATATTATGAAAAATAATAGTATTGATTCAAATTTAACTTTTAGTTGTAATTGTAGTAGTTTTTGTAACACTAATTCTTATAGCATTGTTTGGGAAGGAAGTGCATTCGGAGCATTGTTTCTGATATATGTAATTATTGTGTTTTTAATGTTTGTGGTGTTTCTTAAAGCTAAACAGTGTTATATACGTAGCAAAGAGTTTTAAAATAAAATTGTGTTGTATGAATTAAGCGTGTAATCATTGTGAAATCGTGCAATCAGCTAACTACTCCCCCAGCCAGTGCATCAAAACGAATCAGTAAATTGTGTGGGATTTTCTCTATTCCATAACCCACTAGAGACACGGACCAAACTGAAATTTGCTGTTGGCTCCAGGGGGGAGGGGAATCTACCTGGGGCTGCCAGCCCTGGCTGCAGCCAACACCCAAGGCCTGTGAGGAAGGCTTAAAAACACTTCCAACACATGTAGCAGACAGGGCAGGGGAGGGGCAACTAGCAAAACCCAGAAACCTGGGAAATACCCATAGTAGAACATAGGCATAGCTCAGGGCTGGGCAAAATGCAGCCCTCCAGGCCATTCTATCTGGCCTGCAGGGCCCCTAAAAACTTAGAAAATTAGTATTTATCTGCCCCTGTCTGCCTGTCATGTGGCCCTCGATGGCTTGCCAAAACACAGTAAGTGGCCCTCTGCCAAAAATAATTGCCCGCCTCTGGCAATAGCTACAGCTGGATCATTTCTGACCAGTGCCTGTCCAGCCTCCTCTTGACCTCCAGCAACAGACAGTCCACAGGTTCCCTAGGCAGGCTGTTCCACTACCTTGCTGTTCTAACAGCAAAGAAGTTTTTCTGGTTATCCAATCTAACTATAATGACTATACCACTGCTGACTATTTTTGACCTAGTTTGTTGTGTTTTTTTAAATACTGTGGTAGATAGCAAATGGGTACGCATCCCAGCAGTTATATTTGTTTTTGCTTTGATCTAAAACTGAATGATATAGCACTAGCCCCCTAGCACATGAGTAAAGCTTCTAGTTGCTCTTCAACTGGAAAAAAAAAGTGTTGTGTTACATGTGAGGATGTGCAACACCACCTGCACATCCCTTTCC